ATATAACCTGTGTCTTCTCCCTGTTCTTGTTGCCAGTTCGTCTTGTGTGTTTCACCAGGTCTTACCAGCGTTATATCCCAGTAGTTTCCAGTCGATTCTTGAGATCCCCGTGTACTGACCCCTGCCTGCCTCCGACAACGACACGGCCTGCCACCTCTGTACCTCCGACGTCCTGTGTACCGAACTCCTGCCTGCCTCCGACAACGACACTGCCTGCCCGAATTCCTCTTCATTAAAACCCTTATTCCCCTTATCTGCGTTTGGGTCTCTGTCTGAGTTGTGATAGATACTGTACAATTTGTGTCAAAGCGATTTCTCAGAAACACATTATTTATATCACCGCCCGTGAATGAGGCACAGCGACTAAGGGGTTTCCTCTAGTTAACAGGCCATACAGAAACCACCTGTTTATTCTTTGGTTTGCTGCTTTTCATTAGCTATTGTTGTGTTCAAAATGAAGAAACGCCGGACGGACAAAGGGCAAAAGGTTAAAATCAAATGTATTTAATAAAAGAAAGGGCGTTGTGGTAAAAGGGACATCTCAGCCGAGGAGCCGCTGGTCTTTGCAACAGGCCACAGGGCCCATTGACCCCCCCCCCCCATAGTGCCTGTCTGTTGCCTCCACCAGCGAACTCGAGAACAATGGTTACCTACAGGTATTTATACCGTAAAGGTGTGAAAGTTAGTGTCCACACTTGTGGGAGTGGTCTTCTGGTGAGTTTATTGTAACTCAGATTTCGAATGACCCCCAGTCAATACCAGTTGTTGTGCAAGTACTACATGCATGCATTCAGGTTGATTACATTACATTAAATACAATCATAACTAAGTTGATATTATTCTATTGATTAGTTTCAATATTACAGTGGTTTTACAATATTGTCATTACTTTATTGATTACACAGTTTCAGAATCATGGCTGTATTCTGGTGTACACTATATGCATTTTATTAATTTATGAACCGGGTCGTCAGTTTATTTCTAATATCCAACACAATGGTAGGAATGCTTTCCCAGGACTTCAACCGGTGCTTGTGATTTCCATGTTTCAAAACTGTCTTTGACAGCTAAGTAAAGTTATGCACTGATATTTAACAAATGAATGTAAAAGGAGTGACAAACTGCAGGAATTTACAATATTGAAAAGTTTCTCAAAATGTATCATGCACGCATTAACACGAGCGAGGCAATTCATTCTTCTTATGTTGTATCTATTTTTCTAAAAGTTATAAAGAATACGATTTCAGTAATAACCAGTGAATAGTTTTGTCTACCAAGATTTTTCTGTCCCTACAATAGAACTGAGGTGAAAGGAGCCAATTGTATTTCAATAAGCTTTCCTAGTTTCCAGTTTTATTGTGAACCCATCTTATTATAACTAAAGTCAAATTAACAGTCCTCTGGTTGCCTATATTACGAATGTAATCACTTTTAAACCCAAAGCAAAATATCTATATTTGTGAATGAAGTGCAATGGCAGACAACAAAACCCCCCTAGTTAAAACCACTGTAATATTGAAACTGTAATCAATAGAATCATTTCAAAGGTTGTTTTTTTTTCCTATTCTTTTTTTATTTTTTTTCCAATTGGACTAAAATCTTCATCTGCTGATTCTGTCTACTGAGGAGACGAGAACCTCCCGAGGAAGAGGATGGCCTTGGTTTTATTGTGCCTGATGAAGAAGATGAAGGGGTGGTCCGCTGTGAAGTGCTCCTCCCTAAACATACAGAACGCTACCATGCCTGCGGTGGCCGCGGCCGCCTCCGTCCCCTCCTCGTTCACCTCCACGAAGGCCTTGTGGGCCACTGTGGACAGGAACAGTCCTCTTTCCCCATTCATGCCGGACAGATCGGCCTTCGCCCCGCAGAACACGTCCGTCATCCCGAGTTTGGCCAAAGGCTCGCTCAGCTCGTAGTCTTCCTCCAGCTTGAACTTGGGCAGGTGAACGAGGACTTCTGAGTGGACATCCATGTTTCTCCTGTTGGTCCACTCGCCAAGCTTCTCCTGCGTGATCTCATTCTCCAGCTGGAACAAAACACATTATATCTCATCTCTAGCTCATATAAATATTAAGACGTAAGCTTGTTGGTCCATCCTATACTAGTAATCCTAACGTATGTGGCCTTTGTTTCATCAGGTCTCCTTGAAATCAAGATCTCTTTTGCAAGATGCAGAATCGTTATTATTTTGGATTTTATTAGTTTTAATGATTTCCCAAGGGTGAAAATGTGTCACAACGTATGCATTACAGCTACTATTCCATCCCTTGTAGGCCGAGTTGCTTCCAGGTAGCGTACCTTCAGCAGCGCGTCAGAGCCATCTGCCGACTCCTCGGGCAGCAGGATGAACATGCTGAGCTCCTCATCCACATACGGCAGCTCCAGGATCTGGAGCCCGAGCTCAGGAACGTAGTTGTAGGGCAGCTTCTTCATCTGGTACATCATCTGGACCTGCTTTGCCTCATTCTGACACACGGGAAACCACGTAAATCACCAAGTGAAACAGCTTCATGTATTCCAGCTTCGTGTCTCTACATCTGCAAACTTCACCTGGTTGACTTTGAAGGACATCTCTTTGGTGTTCGCCGGATCAAAGCGGTTCAACCAGTTTCCCTTGAAGTAGATGGCATTAACCAGAGCCAACCGTGTCATAGGAGTGACCGTTCCCGGCTTCAGAAGATCTTTAATCTTATCTAAAATACCAAGACAACGCAAGCATTGATCACTGAGTCACAGAGGACAGGAGGGGGGGAGCGGAGTTTGGTTTGACTGCTTTATCTTACCGTTGAATTGCCACACTGGGGGAAAACTGTGGTTATAATCACAGCCATTTTGGATAAATGGGGGTGAAAATGATATTTAGCCTATTGCAATATATATAGATGACCCTAATTAATAATACTGACTTACCTAATACCTAATCATTTGGTGATTATTAATAACACTTTTAAATAGAACCATTAATAATCAAATAAATCATTAAAATGAAGCCATATTACATTACATTACATTACATGTCATTTAGCTGACGCTTTTATCCAAAGCGACGTACAATAAGTGCATTCAACCATACCATATCATAAAACTAAATATAATTTGAATTTATATGATACTTCAGGAGGGGGACGCTCATCCAAACAGCTGTTTTATTCTTATCGCTCTCCACTGGCATTTTTGGAATGAGGGCCAACAGTCCTATTTAGGACTAGAGAGAGCAAATAGGCTTAAATGCTGTGTCAGTCCGTCTATCGATCCTCGCTCGGTTTCAGGGCGTTGGCCGGCGGCGCAGCGACACGCGCACGTAGCCAAAGACTTTGTCCAATAATGTTGTTACTGTTCACTATTCTTCTATAGATACAGAACGGTTAAACAGGTGGATCAAGGACCAAAAAAAATCATTTGAGGGCCGGTCGACAATATGCCACACTTACCCTATCAGACTATATCAGTTCTCATTCGTCGGCAGCCTTGAAGTACACTCTCTAATGATTGCAGTAAAAGTCAGTATAGTGATAATCCACGTCCGAGTAAGAAGAAGCACTCACTCTCCGTCTGCTGCTCCACCCAGCTGTTGATCTCCATTCTGCATGCCTCTGGAGCCCCCATGAAATCCACGGCCTTCAGGTCGGCCTGGTAGTGCTTCTGAGTGGCTTTGAGGAACAGCTGCAGTGAGGAGAAAACATTGTATGAACTCGGTCATGTAAAGTTGTATAATTCGTTAATTAACAATAGCTGTAGCTTGAGTTCTCTTGTATCGAAGTGTAAACTGAAAACTCACCGGGAGGAAGTTGGCAGTGTTTTCTCCGTAAAGGCGGTTGGCTAGTTTGAGGATGTATGAGGCGGAGGGTGAGTTGATGTCGCCGTTCAGTGTCTGGAAGTCTCCGTGGACGCTTTTACCAGAGCTGAATGACAGCGCCTGGGTCAAAATTTGGAACAACAGACTTGAATCTGGGATCAAAAAACTGTGTGGTTTGAAAACAATCACATGGATGTAATGTTCACGTGTCCTCGTGTTCTTGATCACATAGTGTAGTCTATATTTTAAAATGCTGTTGTGTTTTATGTATTCGGGAAGTCAATCATTCATCAACATGCTGAACCACTGCAGATAAAAATGTCCCTCGTGGCTTTACACAGTTTCAACACAAAAGTCATTCATCAAAATAAGATGAAGAAGAACCAAACCCCGAGGATTTACTCAACTCACAAAAGCACGTTCCATGAGCTGAAGCCACATTGTTAACTACCAGTTTTTATAACCACATGCAATCAATATGTTACTTGTTCCAAGGGAGCTTTTTCAGGTCAAAGTTCAGTTCACATCCGACTTTGGCTGTGTGGAGACACACCCTTCATGCTGTGCACACACACACCGCTGGACCCACGGCGGTGAAAACAGGCCATAATGGAGTGTGTGCTCACCTTTGCCATTTGAGCAGCGGTGTCTCCTTTGGCCCCCAGGTAAACCATAGCCAGGGCGGAGCTGATGCTCAGCGGGGAGACGAAGATGTTTCCAGCGGGACTCGCTTGGCTCAGAGTGCGCAGCAGCTCCAAGGCAAAACCTGTGTTTGATGCGCTGATGTCGGCCATGACTGATTGTTTACGACTTTCCTGTAAGGAGCAAATGACATTTCAATTGTTACACAATATCATACCATTAGGTAAAATACGTTTAAGACCGGTTTTGAATGTGAACATATTTCATCGTTCTTAGTTACAGGTCTTTAAACAGACACTTTTATCCAAAGCGACTTACAATACACTTTAAACCCATGGATTTCTTCACATTTTTTGGCCTGGGGAGCAATTAGGGGTTAGGTGTCTTGCTCAGGCACACTTCGACATGGAACATGGGGCAGCCTGGACTCGCACCACCAACCTTGTGCTTCCCAGCACACCTTCTCTAACCCCTGCGCCACGACGACCCAGTTGACGTTTTAGAGAAAACAAGTTGTCAACACAGAGAAAATGACATAAAATGTGGTGTTTTGTCGAATGTATTATTGTCACCAGTCGCAGTTCTGCCTGGAGCGAGTCGAGATGCGTTCAGGCACCCGGAAATAAAAGCCGCACACAAACTCTCTCCCAACAGCCGCTTTTAAACACGTAACGCCGAACGCATGTCGGCAATCCGCATTACGGCGTCACGTTACCTGAACTTCCTCCCGCGGCGGCCGAAGCAAAACCTCTTAGCGCGCACTCAAAGTGCGAAGCAGCGCGAGCAGAACGAGGCACGCGAACGGGACGTGAAATCGCCGGGAGTTGCAGATGCGGCAGAGCAGGAGGGCGGAGGCGGAAGCCCGAAGTCCGCCGCTCGTCATTTACGCGGAACGCGAACAGGGAGCGTCACTGCAATCTGTGTGTGGGACACGTGACTGCGCGATAAATCACCGACAGGTTACAAATACAGGAAGAAACAACACGAGCCAACGGGCCACACCCGCCTCCATCACACTGTTCAGTAGTGTTGTAGTTATTGCTGCTAGTAATAGTTGTAGTCAGGGCTGTAGTGGAGGGTAAACGCACGTAAACGCGTTTACGCACCTCTAGAATTTGGAAATAGCGTTTACGCACCTATAAATAGCGTTTACGCAACTCTAAGTGGCGTTTACGCACCTCAAAGTTCCCTGCGCCTTGTATTCTTCCGTTGGAATAATCCGAAATAAACTTGGTGTAATTTTAAAACAGCTAAGACTACGTTCCCTATTGTTGAATATATAAACGCCGTAGTCTGAAACGCCTAGTCGCGCGGTCAAAACGCTCTCGCTCCCCGAGTCCAACACCTGATGTCATTTGTTCTCCAATCAATTATATAGGTGCGCACAGGACCCAAGAACAGCGCCACCCAGTGTACAGAATTAAGCAAAGACATTTGATGTGAACATTTGGCTCCTACAAATTGATCTGTCTACTTTTGGGATGAATGTGAAAAATAATTTGCGCTTATCTACAGTCAGCAGGACTGATGGAACAAATATATACATTTAAATTAAAATAAAAAAAAGAAAATAATGGCCAAGACGGAAAATAACACCCGATGTGGCTCAACCAAGTGCTCCCGAGGGTGGATGGGAAAAGGGCTGCCAAGGATTTCCTGCTGGAAGATAATTTGTTGGTGAGAAAATGGGTGCCGCATTGAAAAGACTTTGTAGGTAATCCTATTTTTCAGGTTGTGGTCCCATCTAAATTCCAAGAAGAGACGCTTAGGACATCGTAAAGGCCGACCAGGGCATTTGGGCGTTCGAAAGATGTACAACTACGTTCTCAGGTATTTCTTTTGGCTTTGTGTGAAGCGAGATGTGTCCAGAAATATCAAAACATGTCATACCTGTCAGATGATGGTCAAACCTAACCAGACAATCAAGCCAGCTCAACAGGATCCAATTCCAGCAGTTGCTCAGCCGTTTGAACATCTTATGATTGATTGTGTTGGCCTCCTACCCCGGTCAAAGTCTGGAAATAACTGCTTACGGTAATGTGTAAAAGCTATCTGTTGCGCAGCATTACTGTTAGCTCTGTGGTTAAAGCTCTGACTCATTTCGCGTCCATCTTTGGAATTCCAATTTTTCCTCATATTTGTTTACCTAAGTCTTGAAGCAGCTGCAGGAGAAACATGATTAAGCTTCTCAGGAATCAGGAATCAGGAAATATATGTCATACATACAAGGAATTTGTCTTGGCGGTTGGTGCGTGACAGTAGACAGTGTAACAATAGACAACAAGACAAAAGTGCACAAGTAATAAAATAAAATGAAATGCTAATACTATGGGTTAGTAGAATAAGGCTATGGGTTAGTATAAAATAAGAGAATAAAGTTAAAGTTAAAAATTAAAAATATTTAAAAAGTTAAAAAAGTTAAAAAATATTAAAAAATAAAGTGACAAGTGACGACAAAGTGACGAGTGACGACAAATACCTTCTGCATACCTTCTGAGAGCCAAGGGGCATTACGGGAGCTAGAGCAGGACTGGAAGGAGGGGTCTTCCCTGGTCAGAGAGGTTATGCAAGAGGGCACTGGGTTCGGCCCAAATGAGCTAATGTTTGTTCACACGGTGCAGGCCACTAACTTTGCACGGTTGCACGGCCTTATGTTTGATTTATTTTCAATTAATTTCCGTTTGTTAAGAAAAACGCACCGGGACTCTCTGAGTGCCCGCTCGCTCCTCAGCGGCCGACGGACGCCACACGACCCCCGTCAGCCGCGGCGTCCAGCGGTCAATGTCTAAACCATGGTTACACCCTTGCTCACTCGTGTGTATGAATTAAATCTCCGTTACACCGGAAGGCGGAAGCAAAGAGGGCGGGTTTTGAACAGCGAGAAGCTTAATATGCTTTTAAATCCGGACTCGCCCGTCCTTGTGTAGGTCCAAGTTTATAAATACTACCATATTTAAATCACGAAATGTAATTTTACGAGTTTTTCAGACGAGAAGTTGTTTAAGCAACATTTCTGCGGTCGGTTTATCAACATTCAGCCTTCGTAACCACGTGCTCCGAGGATGTGGGAGAAGTGAGGTGTGACACCATAATTTACAGCCTCACGAAATACTGTCCTCTTTCATGGTGTTATGGATATGGTCACCCTGTCTTGTGTCCACTTTTCCTTAGCGGAAACCACACATGTAGATCGTACAAAGAAATATTCAATAGTTAATATTTGGATTTAAAAAAAATGTGTATTATACTTTGTAGTCGCCTTGAAGCTGATGTTGTGCTTCCGGTTTCAATGACGGTCTCCCCATAAGTCCTTTATAAATAACCAAAATATCATGTCTTTCCTTTGTTTTGGTGTAAAGAAGCACAAAAACATTAGGAAAATATTGAAATTTAACAAAACATTTCATGAAACACCTCATATTTCCTTAGACAAATGTGCAATTTACTTTTATCATTCACAAATATGCATTGCAACTGATCCCACTGATTGTACAAAGGCACAAAACTTTAATTGGTACTGAAAAATATAGTAATACACTTTAAGATTAAATGAGACTTTTAAAGAAAGGAATTTTTAAACCACTTACACATACGCATATAAAATCTAAATGTAATCCCTGCGTACACCTTACAAACTAAGGAGAGTGATTTTAAATGTGTAATGAAGAAAGTGTTCGCCTGTCCTGTAAATCTGTAAACTTCATACATGAAACATACATACACAAACAATACATACTGAAAATTTATGGAGTTGTATGAACAGTAGAATTCCATCACACAACTTTTGTTTTGAAGCTGCTGACTAACGTTAAAGTGCACATTTTTTAAATCACCACAGTAAGGATTCATCCTTACAATCTGCCGATAGTTCCGAAATCCTCTCTGCTATAGTATTCCTCGTCAGGCTAATATTGGCAAAAGCTTGTCGCTTCTCGGGACATACAAGTTCAGCCGCCTTCATCATGCATCGTTTAACAAAGTCACCGTCGGAATACGGCTTCGATGCTAATGCTATTTCGCTAGCAATTAGGTAGCTGGCTTTTACCGCTGCTTCACTGACTTCTCGGCTCTTGATGAAAGTTGGCTGCTGTTTCCTCAGACCCGCCAGCAATTCGTTAATCTTATCTCTTCTCAGTTCTCCTTGCAAGCCGTCATATTTTTCGCTGTGATGAGTCTCGTAGTGGCGTCTAATATTAAATTCCTTCAATATCGAAACTTGTTGCAAACACACCAAGCACAAAGGTTTTCCGTGCATCTCTGTAAATAAATAGGACGTGGTCCATTTTTCTTTGAAAATTCTACACTCCTTATCTACTTTTCTCCGTTTGGATAACGACATTTTGGCTAATGAGGGTGTAGCGGGGAGGTAGAGACCAAGGTATTAACAACGTCGTAACAAGCAGCAGATGGCGCATTGATACCGTCTGCTGTTTTCAGTCTGTCTCAGTGATGCGGCTTGTCTTCTACTCTGATGGAAAGAGTGCGCCCCTTAGCGGATAATCCATGAATTGCAGCGAATTAAAAATATTAATTCCATGTCCTTTATGCATTTTTTCCACTTTCAAATTATCCTGCGGGCCTGATCGAACCTCCTTGGGGGCCGGTTCCGGCCCGCGGGCCGTATGTTTGCCATCCCTGCACTAAAGCATGGGTATTCAACTAAAATGTTAAGAGGTCCAGTTAGAGAAATTTTCTTGAAGCAAAGGTCCAGAAGATCATAATGTCTAACTATTTAGTGTGATATATATTTAAGTAGCCTGGTAGTTGTATAAACATCTGCATATAATCAATACCTTTCAAATCAAAGGAATTCGGTACGATTAAAACACTTTTTAGCAATATTTATTATCATGTAACATAGAACTGGACTTATGTGTGACCGCAGATATGTATAATGCTCTCTCATGAACTAAATAAAAGTAGGGCTGCATTTTTAAAATAAAATGAATACAAAATGAAAATGGTGCATGTAATAATAAATAATAATAATCAAATAAAGTGCTTAACTTCAGAAAAATTAAGTAAAGGGAGGAAAAGCTTAAATGTCCCCGTTTCTGTTTCAGTCCCAAACGATTTTACAGATAATAAATCTTAACACATCTTAACAATTTAACAGTTTTAGAGCATTAGTCTTGCATCCCACTTCCCCACTTTGTTGGTCAGTGGGAGAATTGAGCTCTAGCTTGTCCTGCCAGGACTTTAAACCTGGCCTTGAATGGAGTCGGGGCCATCCGCATGCACATGTGGAGGTGCTCATTGGTGAGCCTCGAACGATATTTATTTTTGATGATATTCATCGTAGAGATAGCTGCCTCGCAGTTGTAGGTGGAGCCAAACATGGTCAAGATGTATATGGCAACTTTCCTCAAACCTGGAAAAGCTGTCTCAGGGACCGTTTGGAGCCAGAAAGTGGAAGGGTCAGTTCTTAGAAACTGCTCTCTCAGGGACACATCTGCTTGGAGATCAACCAGTTGCATCTGGAGAGGCCCAGGATTTACCCATTTTAAGTGCTGTGTGACTTCCTCTGAGAACCCCCTGACATCCGTGATGATAAATGGGTTCTGAATGAACATGGTGAGCTGCTGTCCAAAGCTGAAGCTGTCAAAACGGTTGCTGAAGTTTACGATCAGCTTATCAATGAAGTCAACAAAAGAAGACACATCTCTCTGTCCCTGTACCTGTTCCTGCACTGCTGGTAAGTGTGCAGTCTCCCTGCAGGTCTTCCTTGAACAACTCAAGTTTCTTTTGAAAGGAGCGGACAGTGGTCATCAGTTCACAAATTGAATTGTCCTCGCCCTGTAGCCTCAAATTCAGTTCATTCAGATGTGCAGTGATATCAACCAAAAAGGCCACATTATCCATCTGTTTCTCATTTCCTAAAAAGAGAGAAAACTGCGTTGCCTTCTGATGTCTTAGCTCTGCCCAAAAAGATGCTACTTCCCTCCTGGTGGACCAAAAGTGTGCTAAGACCTTCCCTTTGCTGAGCCATCTCACATTATTGTGCAGCAAAAGATCATCAGCATTGGCATCAACTTCTCTGAGGAATTCCCTCAGCATGCGATGCCGGGTGGAAGAGGATGCCCTGAGAAAATTGATCATTTTCATCATTGTATTCATCACTTCAGCATGCTCATCTGACAGGAAGGCACAGAGGACAGATTGATGAATGATGGAATGGTAAGCTATGAGCTCTGGATTGTCCTCCTTCAGTCTTGCTACAGCTCCTTTCTCTCTCCCTATCATAGCAGGGGCTCCATCTGTGGCGATTGAAACCACTTGTGTTGGCTCTAATCTCCTTAATGGCCAGGTAGATATCTTCTCCTCTTGTACTGGTTTGAAGGGGAGTGACACCTAACAGGTCTTCACAGAATGCTTTCTGGTCTGTGTTGAAAAACCTGACATACACTAACAGCTGAGCATTGTCACAGATGTCAGTGGACTCATCCACAGCTAAGCCTACACATGGTGCCTTATGTATGGCTTCATCTAGCTGGGTTAGCACATCCTGAGTTAATATTTCACCTTTCTTTGTGGCAGATGATGCTGACATGGGTATTTGCTTTATCTTATCACAATCTTGTTTTGGTTTTCCGTCAAGTAATGTTTCAGCGACGACACTCACACATGCATTCCTTGACAAGCCCTCCATCAGTAAATGGCTTTTTGTGTTGCCCCAAAATCCAAGCAACTCTGAGGGAACCCTCATGAGCACGTTGTTGGGCAGTGAACGTGTGGCTCAGGATCCTGGTTGACTGTTCATATTGGGCTGTGAGGCCACTTATTTTCTGTGATCTCACTTCGGATTTGAGTGGGTATGTTTGTTCAAAACCTTTATGTTTTGTCTCATAATGGCGTTTCACATTGTCACTTTTAATAAGCGCCACGGTTTCTGAACATATAAGACACACTGGTTTTGTGCTCCCTGTGGGAAGTATGAACAGAAATGAGTCTGTCCATTCCGGATTAAATGCTCTATTTTCGCTGTCAACTTTTCTTTTTTTGGAGAGCGACATTTGTTCCTTATGTTTCTCTCCCTTTCTCTGTCTCACTCGACTTTTCCTCAACTTTCTCCGGCACAGTCGTCCGTTTCTCTCCCTTTGTTTTCTAAATGTGTCGCTATCTTTCTCTAACTTTCTCATCTCTCAGCGCGGGCGCAGCGCTGTCTTGAGACGTAATGGTTACCGCCGAGAATGCATAGATTTGATTGGCTGAGTGGTATCACGAGGGATGGCTTAACCCGCATGCAAGTGGTCTGTGCGTTTCCTCATCCGCTAAAACACTACCGTTAATACTGCAAAAGCCGCGCCGCGCCGCCGGGTAAAAAAAATAAAAACGCCGTCAGTCTGTCAAAATGACAACCTTCTGTTTTGGCTGGCAGTCCGGGTCCGGATGGGACGGCCTCTGGGTCCGGACCCGGACCGCGGTCCGCCAGTTAGTGACCTATGCACTAAAGCGTTCTGTCAGTAAAGCTAAGAACAAAAACAACAGAACATTTCTTACTGCTCTTGACTAAAGAACTTTTGTAGCTTAAATAATGATTAGTCTATATTTAATGAATAATTTATGCAGTGCACGCAGTTTGATCACTTTATTCAATTTTGATATGTCCGAGGCCCCCTGTTAGACAGTAAGGGCTCAGGTAAATATGACTTCTTTTTTTTTTTTAACTATTATACTCTTGAGACAAAGTAAAAATTGCAGCTTTGTTTTGTTTGAACAAATGTTTCATTCATGTTGTGAATTAAAAACCTTAAGTTTAAAAGTGTTTTTGTGTTTGTTTTGTTGAAGCAATTCACATATAGGGATTCCTATGTACCGTCATCCCTGCCACCCTGCCAAGACCTCTTGCCACCCCTTTGCCCCCCCATGTAAAATTTTCTAGATCCGCCACTGCCTTTTTGGATCTGGTTTAAAGGCGCGGCATGTGTTGTGGTGACGTTAATTTCTCAAGAGTTAAAACAAAATCATTTACGGTAAACCTGTTGTCACGGGTTTGCAGGAGGCGGGCAGCTATAAATCACCCCATCCCGCGTCTCGCCGAACACTCTATCGAAGGCTGCCAGATGTTAACATCCTGCTGAACTGAAGTTCCGCGCACATTGGCCTAAAGATGATTTATAGCAAGTTACGGATCTTCTTCGTCCTTATCGGTAAGTATTAAATATGTTTGCGCGAAAAGACTAAAGATCTAAAGCGAAACCAAACTTGAGGCATTCAATTGAAAATCGAGAATAAACCAGAATAAAACAGACGTGGTAACGACAAGTTAGATACGTGCGTGTCTCCAGATGAACCGACATGTTACTCAGAAACTAGCGTGGTGCGGTGAGAGTGAAATCAATGCAAATCACAGTATTCACGTGGTAAAATAATAATCTGACACGGGAAATCAACAAAGTTGAATGGATACTTTCTGAGTGACGCCGAGTGCGAAAAGTGGTCGGTGGCAGGTTCCTTTTTCAGAACGGCATAAGTCGATCTCAGTTGGGTGTTTTAACGACACGCAAATACCATGTCACGTTAAATGAGTATCTTCGTGACCGTGGGTTTGCCGTACATGCTTTTTTCTAACTTTAGTGACAATCTAGCAGATCACAGCCACTCGCAAGTAGCACAGCGTCTTAAATAAAGTGACGTATGTCTTAATGTGAGGCTTTAGTAATGAACACAAAGGCATTCTATGTTGATTAAGTCTGAAACGGGTCATTTGAGCAATGTTTTGGTAACCGACGGAAGCCAGCGGACAGAGCGCACCCGCTCTGCTTATTTATTTATGCCGATACACATGTCCCACTATTGCCTTAGCATTAGCATGCGTTAACATAGCGATAATCAGAGCGGCTTATCGAAATAAAGAAATACAACGAGAACCGGCTGGTGGTCGGGCGAACGGTTTGGCCGTCCTGGGGAGAGGGCGCACTCGGTCCTACTTTTCTGTTCTCATGAGATCTGATTCCCGTAAAAGGCTGGTTTTCTCAGAGGGGAAGGAAAGGTACTTTCCAGCGAAGTGACGCTCCCCTGCTGCAGATTGAAATGTCTTCACTATCTCTGGCTTTGTTACATGGGAGTCCAGCGTGGGGGGGGAAACCTCATTAGAATAAACATTACATAGGGATTTGGTCAAAACTGAACACACAGTACACACACACACACACACAATTCAACCGGCATCGTGCACGAAAATATTACTAATCTTACTACAATGTATTACTCGTGTTGTGGGACATGAACCCGTGCACACAGTAAAATTGCGGGGACTTGTCCTCTTTTTGAGGACAATGTCCACGTCATTATAAGATGTACTATAAGTGGGAAGCGCTCGGAGCGGTCGGGATACTAGAAAGACGCTGTACAAGTATACTTGGTTTAAGTACATGTAGGTTTGGTGACCGTGAGGATTGTGCAAGAAGCTGTTATAAAGTTACAGATAGATGAAGTGATGGTGGCGTGTAGTGAAAGTAGCAGGAAACCTGCGCCGCCATTAACACATCACTGTGTGCACCAGGCCCAAAGCCTAGAGAGGCCTTCTGTGCTATTTCACTGTGTGTGTGTGTGTGTGTGTGTCCGAGTGTTTTTTTGGGGGGTGTTCTTCTGGTTGGGATGACTCATAAACCGGTTTAATCCTGTCTACGTACTCCTCACTCTCCCGCTGTCTTATGGCTGATGCATGTGAGGCCCACTGGCGTTTGCATCGCTTCACCTGCAACTTCAGAGCGGTCCAAATGATTTATGCAACAGTGGAGAAAAATAAATAGTGTGGAGGCTTGTAGCTGCTACAATCAAACAACCACATGAGTCATGAGTGACTTCCATTTGGCGATGTTGGCAAAAAATGAACCATGCCTCGCCTTAAGTCAACGTTGCATTAAGTGTCTGATACGACTTTGAGTCCATTGTTTGAATGATGTTCCATCTCTGGTTGTTTTTGAGTTTGAATTCAAACTGGAAGGATCTTGTTGGATCTTTTTTTTTTATGTCTTGTTATTTTTGTTGTCTGTTGATGTAAAGTATTTTATCAGTTGATCGCATGTAGCAAGTGTGAGTGGTATATGTAGCTGGTGTAAATGTACCCTGAAGTGTAGTGGAGCATGTATTTAATTACTTACTTATACCTCAAAAATGTACTTACATTAAATAATTATTCGGTCAGTTCATATTCATTTTGTAGTTTCTACCATAAATATATATATATGTGTATGTATTTATTTAGCATATTCCATGAGTATTATCGACAAGTGATCTGAACTCTGATCTCTGATAAACCAAAGCTTATCTCTGTCTTGACTAAACACATAGATTTCTTTTCAATTAGCTCTGTTTTCATGTTCATTTATTCAGAGATCTGATAACAATCCGAATTGTTGTTAAATAAAAGTCACTCAAACTGGTTTCTATCTGCTGTGAAAAGCTGCACGAGAGTAGATATTTGAAAAGTACAAATACTCTTTGACTGACTTCTGACTCCCTTCACTTCCTGTCTTTCCATTCATCCAGGTTTTAGTGTTGCCCCCCTTGTAGTGTAGATTGACATTCACAGCACCCTTCATAACACACGTGTTCTCTGCTTAAAGACACATTTTATCCATTCTGTGTTCTTGCATGTGGTCTAGAATAAAGTTCTGATAGCATTTAGAAAGGACCTCAATGAGATACAATCAAGTTATTGAAATCAAACCGGAGAGGAACATGAACACGCCAGCCTAAGTTTGTTTTGTTATTTGTTTATCATTGTCAGGTTTTGCAGTGCTGCCGGTTCACCCTTCAGCTGCAGCAAAGCGTCCGTCCGATCTGACCTGCAACGTCACCGAGAAAAACAATGCATTCATCTACCTCCTGTCCCACCCACCCAGTTCCTCCAAGTGCAAAACGCTCTGGGAGGACAAGAACGTGAGTCCTTCACACTCGGCCCCAACTGGGTTCATCAGAGAGGATCTCTAATAAGCTGAGCATCTTTGCCCATCCTCAATGTTTTTTTTACATTTTTCAGAGGACTGTCATCGTAATGAACCGTGAGTCTGTCCCAGCGGTCCAGAATGTGACCGACCAGTCGCTCACCCTGGATCACTGCGAGCCCTCACTGGCCTACACAGTGGAGTGCCACGATGAAACAAACATGCTGATGGGGAGTACCGTTAGTTTAGCAGTCCTAGCTGGAAATAAAGATTATGGATTTTCATTATTAATTAATGTTTTTATCCGTAATCGGTATTTTCTAAGTGAAAAAATTGAATTTCCCAGAAGATAACTGCAGCCAATTCTTGGACAACATTCAGATTTCTTGTTTTGTGAGATTAGCAGTCCAAAGCCCAAACATAGTCAGGTTACTATTACAAAATAAAAAATAAGCTTTGTAAATACTGTATTTGTACCTGCTAATCAAACCTGAAACATGTCTGGACATGTTCAGTGAAGATATGAATTTGGCTCTGTAGAATCACTTCCTTTTCCTCCCTTTCCTTTTTTAGGTCCGTGGAGAAGCCAACTGCCAAAGTAAGTGTGGCATTAGATCATTTTTCTTCACCTTTTCCGCTTTCTGTCCACACATTGTAAAAGATGGTCTCTACCAAAGAGGGGCGAGTACATTAAACTACACGCATGCTGACTCAGCAGAGACAACGTTCAGTGAGAACAGTTGAGAAGAAACACAAACAGAACGGCAGCACAGAATGCCTGAGAGCTTCAGTGCAATGCATTTGTTTTTAAATTAACAGCAATTTAGGGAGGAATAGGACATTTTCATAACAAACCTTTTACATTTTTCTGGTTTGTTCTCCACATTCTTTTTGTGCTCTAGTCAACTGCAGCAGACTCCTGGATCCAGAAGATAATCTCACACCCAATGGTGAGTTTCTGTGTCCTCTACGAATTCACTTTGTGGTTTTAGATTGCCGCCTCGAGTGTATAAAACCCTCTGTTTGCCCGCAGATTGTTAAAAATGTAAGCGCTCGTCCACAGGATGCTTTTGTGCAGCAGTTTTCAGGAAGTAGAACACTCCAACTACATTACCGTTAGTTACACCTGGTAACTGTGACCATCTTACAGCTTCGTGAAGGAGATGAAAAATTGCAGATTCCACAAAAAGAGCATCACCTACACAATAAATCACACCATCATCTACATCAGTCATACAATCATCTACATTTAGAAGAAATAAAACCAGGATTCTAAATGAAGTGTCACGTGTGGCTCACCGCACCGTGCGTCAGGTAGACGGTAGAAGACAGAAGAGCAGCGGCAGAAAAAGAGGAAGTTTGACATACAGTGGTTTGTCACGTCATAATTGTTTGAGATAGACTAAGAAAATCCAGCTGTTTGTTGATCATTGTTTTTTGCGTATATTTACTTTAGTCTCTTTAAGTATTATGACCAGATGATACACTGCATTCAGAAATGCAGTGAGCCTACATTCTTCACCTTTTGACTGAGCCACTCATTTAATCCAACAAGTTTAGCCAAGAGGAGGCAACACACAGGTTGTAAATAAAGAAATTGTTTTATCTAAACAATTTCTCAAAACAACCTTTACTTGTTCTACTTCACACGTGTAAACCAAGAGACAATTCAAAGGCAAAGGATTTACCTTTTACACCACAACATCATTGTTACGGCCCTTTTGTAGATGCCAGGACAATAAAACCACAATCAACGACAGGCGACAGAGTCAGGGTAAAAGGGGTCTTTCTGGTTTTTATTATTACACAAAAAGATGGCTCCCAACAGGAGGGAGGGAGATGGTGGAAGATGGGACCTACAGGTTGTGCCAAACAAATGAAATGAATATAACAAAACGAGGCCTAGCTCACCACTGGCTCTTCATCCAAAACAAGTCAAACAAATTACCTTACCTGCTTCTCTAAAAAAGGACTAAAGGAAAACGTTACACAGGAGACAACAACCACTACACCTGGTGTATCTATACAAAGGTATACATACGTGCAAAAATGTACAGGGTACCCCAACGTACTAAGGTCCTCAACCTCCACCTTACAAAATTCCAGTTTTGCTAGCAGACAGCCAAAGCTCACGGACAGGAAGACTGGCCACCAGAACACACCCCATTTCACTTCTCAGGGGTCTTCCTTTATGGACCGCCACCGGAACGGCTGATTGCTTTCCACCTGTGTTTGGAGTTGGCCAATCAGCATAATCACTGGGGGAGAGAAACCAATGAGCAGGAGGGAGAACGACAAGAACACATGCAGACCGTCCCCGTCTGCCATGTAACAATCGTACTGATAAATGTATTGCTTTGCCAATTTAATAATACAAAAGAAGAAATGCATTTTTACAAGATAAAACCACAGGGAAGGCCAGATGAGATCTTTCAGGTCGGAGCAAAGTGGTGGAACAACAGACATCATCCATAGAGCCACATTGCTAACGTAACTAATAATGACCATGTTTTTGAAAAAATGCTAAATGGAATGACTCATTTTCTCTCATCTTTGTCTCGTCTTTCAGTGAACTCCACCATGATCTGCATCACTGAGAGTCGGTGTCTGCCAATGACTTCCTTTGTTTTTATTGTCATCGGTTTAATTGGTATTGTTATTTTAGTTGTTGTGGCTCTTTGGTGTTACAAGAAATGGAGAGCGAGAGGATCTGGGACAACGGGAGTTTTTTACACTCAACCATGTGAACAGGTGGTAGTCAACATAAAGACCCCCGTAGGAGACGATGTGGTGCAAAACCACATCGTCTGAACAAGGAAGAAGGGAAGTGTCAATGTTCTCGATAATGTTTTTTTAAGTCCTCATCATCAGTGCCTTATTGACAAATTATGAAATAAGATAAGAAAACTGCAGATAGAAAACTATTAATATTATATTATATCATGTATTATAACTAGTTATATAGAGGGGAGGAGTATAAGTATTAAGATATGTCATATGACGGTGTTTAAACTTGTTCGGGAAGGTTAACTGTAACTGTCCATCAGCTCACCTGAAGGTAAAACCACATGATGTGGTGCCTTTCTGATCAATTGTGATATTGATCTTCGCTGTGGAAGTGGAGATTAATTCATTATAACTTTATAATACGTTTGTACACAGTTGACATGTTGTATCTCAGGGATCTTGGACTCCTGCTTTGACTCATGTGAGAAACCTGGAGGCCGTTTCAAATAAATACCAAATAAAACCAGAACTGAGAGTTTAAAACGGCTGGAAAGCTGCGTGGAGCAGCAAAGTTATAAGATGTTCATTATGAGTGAATGACTTTAGAATAAAGGCTCATTTGATGTTTTCATAATTCTGATTAATGCAAATGTAAAGACAATGAATAGTTTAGATTATTATGAAATTTGCTTTGCTTTTATTTTTGTGGAAATCAAAGAAAATCAAAATGTGCTCTCCTTTTAATCATGCCAATTATTCAATATATGTGTTTATTAAGATAACTCCAGTTTTAATTTAAGGTAAGGGTAAGTTTTTACCCCAATGTAAACTATTTGGGGTGGTATAAACTAATGATTCTATGCATTTGTTGTGTGTATTTTCTGTTCAGTATATTGAACCTGATTGGAAAGTTTAAAAGTGGGGCGTAGGAACATGTTTTATTTGGCTCTGTATACAAATCAGAGTTTTGGGGTTATGAAATAATGCTGTTCAGAGATGATGAGTGTGGCTTATATGAGTGCTTCCTGCTGAATAAATCATTAAAAAAAACACACCTCCATTGTATCTTCAGATCGACGTCTCAGCCTCTCAGAGGCTGTGAGTTGCTCTCGTGGAGGGTTTCTGACTTTTTTTCTGAATACAAAATAAAAAAATGTAACGTGTCATTTTTGTAATTGTTTATTTAAAGCAGACTTTTTTAAATCTCACTCCAGCGTCTCTTTACACAATACAAGTTAGTTTACACTTTTCACTCACCGCAACTAAAGGATCGGACAGCGTTTAAAGAAGCTTTGAGAAGCACTTAAACAGCGGGTCCACAGATCAGCTGCTTCATAATGAGTTTTTATTAAATGGCCATTAAGTTATATTCTGAAAAAATGGCCTCTGCAAGAACACCACATGCTGCAGTCGAGCATCCACCATCTCACACACTGTCTCGTTGCGGTGCAGAGAACATCTGGAAAGCCCCTGCATGTCGTGCTCTTCGTAAAGTTCTCTTGGTTTATTTGGATGTCCTGTCATGGGGTGATAGCCAGAACGAGGGTTGGACTCAAAAGCAGGATCCAGAGAAATAAAAGATTTTATTTTTGGCAGCAGAGGGACTTAGTTCGGGATCCGTGGCCGGGGAAGATGCTGGAGAGGCACAGGGGTCCAGGCGGCAGGAGCGGTGCGGTAGATAGAACCCACGCTGGAGGGAAAGGTAAAGATCCGGCTGGCTGGAGGAGTTCTCTCAAGCCGCGGAGGGCGAGAGGGGAAGCCGGGGAATCCGTCAGGTTCCGAGAAGCAGGCTGGGATGGGACCGAAACATGAAGAAAAAAAAAAGTCAATGCAAAAAACTCTTTCCTTAGAGAATCGATCTCGGGTGAGAGCTGGCCAAGTTACCACTAGGAAGGCAAAACGATCTGGCGAAGACTGGTGCTCCTGCTGTTCCTTAAGAGGGGTTCAGCTGTGACCGCAGGCAGCCACCAGACTCCGCCCAGGTAACCACGGAAACCTGCTCTCCCAGCCTGAAACCACACCTCCAAAGCCGAGTCAGACCGTGACATGTCCCATGTTTCACTGCTTCAATTGATCACATTTCTGATTATGAGTAATAGATATATAGATTCTCACAGTGTATAGAGGAATAGAGAATGGCTCTGACTGTACACACAGACGGGTGTGAATTTATGAATGAAAGTGACAACGTTCTGTCACGATGATGTTGTTACGTGTCATCGCGCTCTCGTTAGTGGGTATATGGGAATCCTTGACTTTTCCTATAGTATCACGCAGACTACAACGCTGCTGTACAGTTGTTTATAATGGAAGTAAACAAGGGCATAGAGCAGGTCGTCTAGAACAAGAACGACGTGAAAATACATTTTGGGGATCTGGTTTAAAGACTGCGCTATACTTTTAAGTGAGGTGTTGTACTAACGTTATAATTTCTCAATAGAGTTTAAAAAAACAAAAACATTTACGTCAAACCTGATGTCTCAGCATTTGCATATAGGAGGCGGGTCCATAAACATAACGCCCCGCCCGCTGCGTCCACGGCCCGTCACTCCACGGAAACCTGCCAGACGTTAACATCCTAAACTGAAGTTCCGCGCACATTGGCCTAAAGATGATTAATAGCAAGTTACCGATCTTCTTCGTCGTTATCGGTAAGTATTCAATATGTTCGCGAGACTAAAGACTGAATATCTAAAGCGCTCAAACCAAACTCCATTACGCCATTACGCATGGAGTTGCCTCAGCTGTCGATTGAGATTTGCGGCATTCAATTGAAAACCGAGAATAAACCAGAATAAAACCGACGCGGTAACGACAAGTTAGATGCGTGCGTGTCTCCAGATGAACCGAGAAATGTTACTCAGAAACTAGCGTGGTGCGGTGTGTGAGAGTGAAAACAATGCAAATCGGAGTATTCACGTGGTAAAATAATAGTTCAAAACGGGACATCAATAAAGTTGAATGGACACTTTTCTGTTCTCATGAGACCTGATTCCCGTAAAAGGCTGGTTTTCCCAGAAGGGAAGGAAAGGTACTTTCCACCTGCAGCAGGAGCGAAGTGACGCTCCCCTGCTGTAGATAGAAATGTCTTCACTGTCTCTGGCTTTGTTACATGGGAGTCCAGCGGTGGGGACCGTAAACCTCATTAGAATAAACATTACATGGGGATTTGGTCAAAACTGAACACACACACACACACACACACACACACACACACACACACACTCACACACACACTCACACACACACACACACACACACACACACACACACACACGCAATTCAACCGGCATCATACACGAAAATATTAAATACTTACTACAATGTATTACTCGTGTTGTGGGACATGGACCTGTGCACAGTAAAATTGTGGGGACTTGTCCTCTTTTTGAGGACAATGTCCTTGTCATAAAAGATCTACTATAAGTGAGAAGCACGGCCGTCCTCCAATCAGAGGATCGGCGGTTCGACCCCGGGCCCTTCTAGCCGCATGCTCCTGTAGCTGTGACTACGTAGATGATAGTTCCTGATGGGCAGGCGGCGCTGTGCACCGTAGCTGCTGTAATCAGTGTATGAAGGATGACATGTAGTGTTAAAGCGCTCGGAGCGGTCGGGATACTAGAAAGACGCTGTACAAGTACAAGTATACTTGGTTTAAGTACATGTAGGTTTGGTGACCGTGAGGATTGTGCAAGAAGCTGTTATAAAGAAGTGATGGTGACGTGTAGTGAAAGTAGCAGGAAACCTGCGCCGCCATTAACACATCACTGTGTGCACCAGGCCCAAAGCCTAGAGAGGCCTTCTGTGCTATTTCACTGTGTGTGGGTGTGTGTGTGTGTGTGTCCACAAGTGTTTTTTGGGGAGGGGTGTTCTTCTGGTTGGGATGACTCATAAACCGGTTTAATCCTGTCTACGTACTCCTCACTCTCCCGCTGTCTTATGGCTGATGCATGTGAGGCCCACTGGCGTTTGCATCGCTTCACCTGCAACTTCAGAGCGGTCCAAATGATTTATGCAACAGTGGAGAAAAATAAATAGTGTGGAGGCTTGTAGCTGCTACAATCAAACAACCACATGAGTCATGAGTGACTTCCATTTGGCGATGTTGGCAAAAAATGAACCATGCCTCGCCTTAAGTCAACGTTGCATTAAGTGTGTGATACGACTTTGAGTCCATTGTTTGAATAATGTTCCATCTCTGGTTGTTTTTGAGTTTGAATTAAGTCTGTTGCAGGACTCTTTACAATACTGGTTTTATTCATTCAATTGTTCAACACTAAGCAGCATTATCTAATGAATCTGAGTCACAAAGACGCGTGCTGCAGTAACGGTAGCTTTCCCTCATAGCTGCAGGGGAAAGCCAAGTGTTTAAACACGCCCTGTGAGGTAATCTCCTCCAAACAAACACTGTAAAGAAATCATTGTACTTAAGTGTAAAGCAAACTCTCAACAATTCTGTCATCTTTACAGCATGTGTTAAGTAGGGGATCAGTCTGACTCAGATAATCTACAGTATATATTGTTAGTGTTGACAAATTGGAATTATGAGACTATGGTCACTCACTCCTCCAATGGAGCAGACGTCCAGACTGGAAGGATCTTGTTGGATATTTTTTTTTTATGTCTTGTTATTTTTGTTGTCTGTTGATGTAAAGTATTTTATCAGTTGATCGCATGTAGCAAGTGTGAGTGGTATATGTAGCTGGTGTAAATGTACCCTGAAGTGTAGTGAAGCATATATTTAATTACTTACTTATACCTCAAAAATGTACTTACATTAAATAATTATTCGGTCAGTTTATTCATTTTGTAGTTTCTACCATGAATATATATATGTGTATGTATTTATTTAGCATATTCCATGAGTATTATCGACAAGTGATCTGAACTCTGATCTCTGATAAACCAAAGCTTATCTCTGTCTTGACTAAACACATAGATTTCTTTTCAATTAGCTCTGTTTTCATGTTCATTTATTCAGAGATCTGATAACAATCCGAATTGTTGTTAAATAAAAGTCACTCAAACTGGTTTCTATCTGCTGTGAAAAGCTGCACGAGAGTAGATATTTGAAAAGTACAAATACTCTTTGACTGACTTCTGACTCCCTTCACTTCCTGTCTTTCCATTCATCCAGGTTTTAGTGTTGCCCCCCTTGTAGTGTAGATTGACATTCACAGCACCCTTCATAACACACGTGTTCTCTGCTTAAAGACACATTTTATCCATTCTGTGTTCTTGCATGTGGTCTAGAATAAAGTTCTGATAGCATTTAGAAAGGACCTCAATGAGATACAATCAAGTTATTGAAATCAAACCGGAGAGGAACATGAACACGCCAGCCTAAGTTTGTTTTGTTGTTTGTTTATCATTGTCAGGTTTTGCAGTGCTGCCGGTTCACCCTTCAGCTGCAGCAAAGCGTCCGTCCGATCTGACCTGCAACGTCACCGAGAAAAACAATGCATTCATCTACCTCCTGTCCCACCCACCCAGTTCCTCCAAGTGCAAAACGCTCTGGGAGGACAAGAACGTGAGTCCTTCACACTCGGCCCCAACTGGGTTCATCAGAGAGGATCTCTAATAAGCTGAGATCACGCTACTGGTGTTAGCATGCTGTTGCTACGGTGTGGGTATGGCACTCACTGCTGGGAAAGGGGGCCTGTGATGTTGGAACGTGCTGTGTGACTGTGGATTAGCTCAGATGTTTCACGTCTCCTGTGGCAGGAGGATCTATGTGCTAATGAATGACACTACATCTTTCCCCATCCTCAATGTTTTTTTTACATTTTTCAGAGGACTGTCATCGTAATGAACCGTGCGTCTGTCCCAGCGGTCCAGAATGTGACCGACCAGTCGCTCACCCTGGATCACTGCGAGCCCTCACTGGCCTACACAGTGGAGTGCCACGATGAAACAAACATGCTGATGGGGAGTACCGTTAGTTTAGCAGTCCTAGCTGGAAATAAAGATTATGGATTTTTATTATTAATTCATGTTTTTATCCGTAATAGGCATTTTCTAAGTGAAAAAATTGAATTTCCCAGAAGATAACTGCAGCCAATTCTTGGACAACATTCAGATTTCTTGTTTTGTGAGATTAGCAGTCCAAAGCCCAAACATAGTCAGGTTACTATTATAAAATAAAAAATAAGCTTTGTAAATACTGTATTTGTACCTGCTAATCAAACCTGAAACATGTCTGGACATGTTCAGTGAAGATATGAATTTGGCTCTGTAGAATCACTTCCTTTTCCTCCCTTTCCTTTTTTAGGTCCGTGGAGAAGCCAACTGCCAAAGTAAGTGTGGCATTAGATCATTTTTCTTCACCTTTTCCGCTTTCTGTCCACACATTGTAAAAGATGGTCTCTACCAAAGAGGGGCGAGTACATTAAACTACACGCATGCTGACTCAGCAGAGACAACGTTCAGTGAGAACAGTTGAGAAGAAACACAAACAGAACGGCAGCACAGAATGCCTGAGAGCTTCAGTGCAATGCATTTGTTTTTAAATTAACAGCAATTTAGGGAGGAATAGGACATTTTCATAACTAACCCTTTACATTTTTCTGGTTTGTTCTCCACATTCTTTTTGTGCTCTAGTCAACTGCAGCAGACTCCTGGATCCAGAAGATAATCTCACACCCACTGGTGAGTCTCTGTTTCCTCTACGAATTCACTTTGTGGTTTTAGATTGCCGCCTTGAGTGTATAAAACCCCCTTTTTGCCCGCAGATTGTTAAAAATGTAAGCGCTCGACCACAGGATGCTTTTGTGCAGCAGTTTTCAGGAAGTAGAAAACTCCAACTACATTACCGTTAGTTACACCTGGTAACTGTGACCATCTTACAGCTTCGTGAAGGAGATGAAAAAAGTATTATGACCAGATGATACACTGCATTCAGAAATGCAGTGAGCCTACATTCTTCACCTTTTGACTGAGCCACTCATTTAATCCCAACAAGTTTAACCAAGAGGAGGCAACACACAGGTTGTAAATAAAGAAATTGTTTTATCTAAACAATTTCTCAAAACAACCTTTACTTGTTCTACTCCACACGTGTAAACCAAGAGACAATTCAAAGGCAAAGGATTTACCTTTTACACCACAACATCATACTGATAAATGTATTGCTTTGCCAATTTAATAATACAAAAGAAGAAATGCATTTTTACAAGATAAAACCACAGGGAATGTCCAGCAGTATAAAATGAGATGTTTCAGGTCGGAGCAAAGTGGTGGAACAACAGACATCATCCATAGAGCCACATTGCTAACGTCACTAATAATTATAATATTAGCTAAATAACAAAAAAAAAATGCTAAATAATGACTCATTTTCTCTCATCTTTGTCTCGTCTTTCAGTGAACTCCACCATGATCTGCATCACTGAGAGTCTGTGTCTGTCCTTTGTTGTCATCGGTTTTATTGTTATTATTGTTGTTGTGGCTCTTTGGTGTTACAAGAAATGGAGAGCGAGAGGATCTGGGACAACGGGAGTTTTTTACACTCAACCATGTGAACAGGTGGTAGTCAACATAAAGACCCCCGTAGGAGACGATGTGGTGCAAAACCACATCGTCTGAACAAGGAAGAAGGAAAGTGTCAATGTTCTCGATAATGTTTTTTTAAGTCCTCATCATCAGTGCCTTATTGACAAACGATGAAATAAGATAAGAAAACTGCAGATAGAAAACTATTAATATTATATTATATCATGTATTATAACTAGTTATATAGAGGGGAGGAATATAAGTATTAAGATATGTCATATGACGGTGTTTAAACTTGTTCGGGAAGGTTAACTGTAACTGTCCATCAGCTCACCTGACGGTAAAACCACATGATGTGGTGCCTTTCTGATCAATTGTGATATTGATCTTCGCTGTGGAAGTGGAGATTAATTCATTATAACTTTATAATACGTTTGTACACAGTTGACATGTTGTATCTCAGGGATCTTGGACTCCTGCTTTGTCTTATGTGAGAAACCTGGAGGCCGTTTCAAATAAATACCAAATAAAACCAGAACTAAGAGTTTAAAACGGCCGGAAAGCTGCGTGGAGCAGCAAAGTTATAAGATGTTCATTATGAGTGAATGATTTTAGAATAAAGGCTCATTTGATGTTTTCATAATTCTGATTAATGCACATGTAAAGACAATGAATAGTTTAGATTATTATGAAATTTGCTTTGCTTTTAAACTATTTGGGGTGGTATAAACTAATGATTCTATGCATTTGTTGTGTGTATTTTCTGTTCAGTATATTGAACCTGATTGGAAAGGTTAAAAGTGGGGCGTGGGGAACATGTTTTATTTGGCTCTGTATACAAATCAGAGTTTGGGGTTATGAAATAATGCTGTTCAGAGATGATGTGTGTGGCTTATATGAGTGCTTCCTGCTGAATAAATCATTAAAAAAAACACACCTCCATTGTATCTTCAGATCGAGTGAGTTGCTCTCTGAAGGGTTTATGATTTTTTTTCTGAATGCAAAATAAATGTAATGTGGTGCCATTTATGCGCCGTGAAAGCGGAGCAGTGAGAGTGTGTGTGGTTTATATGAGTGCTTCCTGCTAAATGAATCATCTTAAAAAACACCTCTATTGTATCTTCAGATCGACGTCTAAGACTCTCAGAGGCTGTGAGTCGCTCTCTGAAGGGTTTCTGTTTTTTTCTGGATACAAAATAAATGTGATGTGGTGCCATTTATGCCACATGAAAGCGGAGCAGTGAGACTCCGTAACTGTGAGGAGACCGATCGCAGCCTCGTGCCGTGCGGGAGGCTCGCGTCGCGTTTCGCCGCTTCATGACTCGGAGGTGCCGGTGTTATTGTGTGAAGGACAGGACGTAGTCTGACTCAGGAAAGCAACCTGCTACAGTGGTGAGTTTTGTTACGTGGTCACTGTTGTTTTAGTTGACTGTTAACAGTGAGAATTTTTTGGTTGAAAGTACGTCTATGAAAGTTTTTTCGTCTATTCGTAGACGTTGAAAAGACGTCTTAGACCACATTTCAACGTGATTTTTTACACGGTAATCTTTTGTCCTCTCTTGTGTGCTATATCATTATTTTAGAGGTTTAAAAAAAACAAACTGTCAAGTTAGTTGTAAAAGAGGTTCGTACAACGACGTATTAGAAACTTGCTCCGTCGCCTCTCGGGGTGGAGATGGGAGCAGCGCACCAGCCTTTCCCCCCCCAGCCCGGACATGCTCGACGTGTGCAAACGCGCTGCTGCCTGGCTGGCGACCCCCTGGCCTGCTGTCGTAGCTGAGACCACCAGATCCCGCTACGAGGGGAAGAAATTGCCCATTGCAAAGAGCCACGGCTTTTCCCCCGAGAGGGGGCTGTGTGGGCGGCCCCGCCGCTGCGCCGAGCGGGTGAAGGTCTTCAGGAAATGTCTCGCGCTTTTTCATCCGGGCATCCAGAATATGTCTTCGGTTACTCGGACTGATGGCGTATGCCATTCTCGTAGTTTGTCTCGGTCGCTTCCACATGAGAGAATTCCAGCTTTGGGTGGCCTCATGCTGGCTGGATCCCGTGCGTAATGGCGCACGGAGAATGGTGGTCACACCGGGACTCGCCAGGCCGGGACTCGCAAGAGACGGAGCGCCCTGGCGAGTCCCGGCCTTTCTGATCCACGGGGTGCCCATGGGTTCCGTCCTGTCCTGGAAAGTGGTCACGACGGACGCCAGCCTGACAGGTTGGGGCGTAATTTACGAGGGCCGATCTGTGAGGGACCGCTGGAGTGCGGACCTCCAGCGGTCTCACATACATTTTCTGGAACTTTCAGCGGTGTTTCTCCCCCTGAAACATTTTATTCCGTCTCTCATGGCCCATCATGTCCTGGGGCCTCATTTATACACGTTGCGTACGCACAAAAGAAGGCGTACGCCGCTCGCAATAATTGGTATTTATATGTGACCAAATGGACACTTATAATACTTTGGAATAATATCCAGACGTGACAACGCCACTCTCTTTGACGGGAGAGACCCTGAATTAAATTATCTTACTGGTGAAAAACCCCATACAACGTAGATCATAGACAGAGGCTTCTGCGTGTACAGTGCAATATCACTTTTATTTAAACAATAACTTTATAAAAACACATCCAAATAATTTATACCAGTAGTGATTGGCCGGGGGCAACAATGACACTTCCAACAATAAAACCACTGCACACTGTTAAGAAAGGCTAAAATAACCAACACTACAAACCAACACACACAAATACAATTAATGATCCTGGTTAAGAGACACATACACAATAGAAGTGGGGAAGGGGGAAGCAACGGTCATCAAAAAAGGCACAATATCAGTTTGTTATTTCTATAAAGAGAGAGCAAGATGGAGGCACTAAAGCATAATCTAAACTAAAACTATGGTCGGAGAAAAAGAGCAGTGGCTGCCCTGCTGACCACTCCGTGTCACCAGTTCAGCCTGCACTGTACAAACAGCCATTAATCACCGAGTACCCATCCTCCTCCTCATTACAAAACGCATAATGTGCTTGCAAGCCCAACTTCCCTCCTAGGCCCAATGCACCTGTGCACCAGCAAGTAGAACTCACCAGGTCTGGTTCAGGTCTGACAATTGTGAGATTGTGAGATGCATGTACTGGTAAAATATATTATAACATTGTTTTGTGCTAAGGTCGTGTCTCAAGTGTCCTGTATTTGACCCTGAAGTGCAAAGAGCAGCATGATACAAAATGTTGCTTTGCAGCTGCGCACTGAGAAGGGAGAGCGGTCAACTCGATCTCGTAGAAGCTTCAAAACAAAGGACTCCTGTTCATGGCCTTGGTTCATATCTTATTCGGAGCTTTCGTTCCGGATCCACGTTTTTACTTTATGTCAATTAATAATGATTTGCACCGGCCACTGAGGAGGATCTTGTGTGTGTGTGTGTGTGTGTGTGTGTGTGTGTGTGTGCTACCCTCAGCTTCACCTGGGTTCTTATCTCAACCTGCTTTGTAGCTTCTCGTAACTGGCACGGAGAATGTTCTTCACATGTGTATAAAAACTCAGCGTTTTCACTGCTCGGAGACGTCATTACGCCGAGCGCTGAGATACGTGCTGGTGTGTTGGACCTCCTGCTTGCAAGCAATAGTTAGAGCCAGATATCTGCGGAGAATTGCTCATGTAATCTTTTTCTCTTCAAAACAAATGACTTCTGTTCATGGCCTTAGTTCATATCTTACTCGGTACGGAAGTTCCGGATCCACGCTTAGAGCTGATGCAGGGGATTCAGAGACTTTTGACTGTTGGCCTGCTATTTGCTTTTGCAGGTTCATCACTTGTTTCCTCAGGGCAGCTACTTCCTATTCATTGCCTGTCTCTGGGCTGAGTACTTTTGGAAGTGACTCATGTTCTTTCCTATATGCTACAGTTTGGCTAGATAAAGACCTCATCGCAGTGAACATTGATTGGAGTTCTTGAACTTCAGATCTTAAATGCTCAACATCTTCTTGTCTACTGCCTATGCCAGGCCTAGCATGAACTCTCTGGATAGACGTGTGCAGCTTTGTCCTTGAAGACTAATACTCCTCTTCGTTGCGGATATCGCTCAGGAGTTCCAAGAAAGTTGGCGGATCTTCTTTCCGTTCCCTGAGTTTGAGCTGTACCAGCATCATATCAGAGTGGACAGCACCTCTCAGCTGCTCCACTCGCGCACGGTCGACGCGGCCTGGAGGGAGACCTCCACGACGAACCACCTTGGTCAACGACAACTCCAAGCGCCTAAGAAAGTCAGACAACTTTTCCTTGAGCTGCTGCTGTAACAACCTAAAGGCAAAATACAAGTCCTCGCCGGTCTAAGCAGACCCAAAAACACTCTCAATAGCCTTTAAGCACCGAGCTGGACTAACCTCTGGATGCGCAGTCCTCACAGCTTTCACAACAGCTAACGCCGGCCCCTTCAGACATTCCATGATACGCCGTAGTTTCTCCTTGGCCGAACGCTCGCTCTCCTCAACCATCAGGTGTGCATGCTCCAACCAATGCTCCAACCAATGATCCAACCAATGCTCCAACCAATGCTCCAACCAATGATCCAACGACTCTTCCCCAGATGGGGTTGGCAAAGTACCAGAGAACGCTGGTGCCAGCTGCCGTAAAGATGTTTTTTGTAGTTCTTTTTTTTATTTCATGTTTTTTGTATTTATTTTATTTTATTTGATACACTACATATTCCCCACCTCTATCTCAAGTCCAACGTATTCCGCTGGGAGGGTTGGGGAGGGGGGCGCAGACGGGGGTGTTCCACGGGGGGGATTGGCGCTGTTTCTTGTTTTTTATTGACTTGAGTGGGGTTTTGTTTTTCAATTTATTGGGTTTGTTGAGCATGTTGAGCATTTTGTTTTGTTATTCTAGGACTTGCACTTATTTTTCCTATTGCCACTTGTCAGAGGATATCCAAGCTGCCACAATAATACCTCCAGATGTCAGAGTTTATTCCAAAAATACTCTTTTCAAGGTTATTTTATTCTGTTATGTTTTCAATGAAAAGTGCTATTGGAACAGAAATTCAGTTACACATGAAAGCATAAATATTTGCCTAATCAATAGAGCTGAAGTTGTCATAAGTGGGACCATTAGAAGAATTAAATGAGAGGCAGGGACTGTCAGGAAGGATATATATGAAATAACAAATGTAAGCAAAAAGAACATTAACAATAAATAATATAAACATGTAAAAACAACCTGATAATAAATTTAAAAAATTGAACTAGTCCCACTCTTTGAACAAAGCATTGACTTTGTAGCCCTTGTCAATAAACTGTGCCACAAACGTTTCATAGTCACACAACAAAGACATTTATCGGTGCGTCTGCGTCGTCCTCATTTTCATCCACGGAGTTCTTGAGGTCTTGCAATGCTCGTAGCTGGTTGCCTCTGTCCACGTTGGTAATTTCAGGCAAGGTTACCTTCCCCTTAAATGCTTTTGTCTGCAACCACTTTGCTGCCAACAAGGTGTGTTCCAGCATTTTCATTTTGCCCTCATTCTGCATTTGAAGAAAAGGAGTATCATAAAAAAAGGCATACATTTTAAATATATATATTTTTAATTAACGTTGACTATAAAATATGAAACAATAAAAAAGCAATCCATTATATTTCAACAAGACTGTAT